GCCCCGCCCGTCACGCACCCCAACGGCTGCCCCTGCGTGCAGTGCCTCGTGCAGAGGCCCTTCTCTTTCTGTGGCGTCGGCGGCACCACCACACCCACCACGTGCGCGCCGCGTACGTGCGAAGGCGTTTTGGTTTTGTTTCCGTTTTTCTATATTGGCCGATGGCATTAGGACATTGTTACTCCTGCCCTCCTCATCGGGGCTTGTGTCCTCAGAAATGTGCTTACCACTGTGAAAAACATTCATTTTATATGACAGGAGCTGTAACAATGACTTGATGTCATCGGTCACTATAGAAAAATCGAAGTTTAGAATCAAAGCCCCTGGCGCTGAGTCTGTTCTGTGATCTGACATGAGGTCTCAGCCAAAGATAACATATACAGTGTGTTTTAGACTTTATCTAACGAATGTTTGACCGATCCCACACAGTCAATAATAACCTAACATTTTAAGGTACGGTCAACGCATCGCTAGTTGTGTCCAAGTTGGAGATGAGGCTCCAGCCGCCCAACTATGCGATTAACTTAGAACGTTCTGGAGATTATTCAACGTTTAATTTCGAACATACTTTATTCCCAAAGAGGATTTACGAACTGTTTGATAGAAAAAAACAAAGGGATTTGAAAATGAATATTACCCGAAATTATTGTTGAGGTATTTTTGTCACAGTAAACTGACTGGGGCTGAAAGTTCTTTAATCACCCTGGTTTCGAATTTTGGCAAACAAATTATTTGAATTAGGTTCTGCATGTTTTAATAAACAAGTTACTCCATTGTTCGGTAACAAAGTATGAGTATTCTGGCATCAAATATTTTTTTTTAAATCAAGCGCAGCAATATTTCATTTGAAACACGTAGAGAGACGACAGCACTTCGTCACGAAGTCAGATACATGTAGCGAAGAATCAAGTGCGCTCTCAAAATATTAGCGTAAGACACCATTCCTCTCACGGACAGTTTTTGTCATTGACCCTTGTCATACTCAAGGGTATACTAGATAAACGTGCACGAGAGCCTGCGCTACGAAATTAGTTATAAAACCTAAATCGCTTAAGCAGCACAGAGTGTTCATCAATGTCAACTGAATTTTCTATTGAGCCAACAATTTCTGTGACAGATTCCATGTAATACTCTATTCCATGCAATATTTTAAAAAAATATCCGCTTATTGAAAACGGTTAGCAAATTCAATGTGCCCTACAGTGCTACGTTGCCAATTTTGTATGCTTCATTAGAAAATAAATTTAATTTTCTTGACACGCACTAGAAAACTTTAAATTCTGAGTGTTGGGGTAAGAAAAAAAATTGTCTTAAGTGATAAGAAAATGTGATAGCTTAAGGAGTACGAGAAACCAGCACACAAAAAAACAACAAAAAAACAAAAAACAAAAATAAAACAAAAAACATCGAACCCAATCGTGTGGGCGTTGCGCATGCGCAGCCAGCATCGTGATCCCGATCCCGTTCCTGGACGACAACAAGCAGCCGCACTCCATCGCGGTGCCGCTCAAGACGCTCAGCCTGCACAGCCTCGAGTCGGCGTGCTCGCAGTCGCTCGTCGCCAAGTACTACGTGGCGGCCATGCGCTGCCTCATGGCCAGGGAGGTCCCGCAGGCAGAGATCCTCGACTTCAACCGACAGTTCAAGAGGTGAGCGGCGCGCTTGACCGGCTGGTTGGTCGATCGGTGGTTTCCGGCGCGACAGCTGCTACGGTCATTAGTCCCGCTCGGTGGATCATGCCGGCGTTAGCTTCAAGGATTCTCCCCAACAAGATATCTCCCCCCAGTGGAGCACCGCAACAGCCGGGGCTGGTCTCCCTACGTGTGTGGTAGTACACGGGCAAGGATGAGGAAGGAAAGAGCGCGCGTGGTCCCTGGTTCTTTTTTTAGGATGCTCCTCCAGAACTCGCTGGGATTGATAGAACGAACACGGAAAACTACCAATAAGAGAAACCGGACGCTAGAATTATCTCCCAGTGGTTATTTTAGCTAGATATGTACCTAGTGGCGAAGCGAACTACCCTCGGGACTCAAACTGTAGTTTCTTCTGTTTCAGTAGTTGGCAATGATGCCACTGAGGCAGCTCAGTCGGTTTGTTTGGTCGGAATCGGATTTCATGTTACTACTCGTGATGTAAGTAACGATGTGAAGCATTTTCAAGGATACAGAGTGTCCGTCAATCAAAATATATTTTACTCGAAACTAATCCAAAATCGGAACAGGTTAATCTGTTTGCGTTTGTGAGGTTATCAATATTATTTACAAGACACGTGAATAAATACTTATTTCGATTTCAAACATCATGCACAATATAATAACTTACTATGATAAATGATTTTCATATTTTTTATAAGACCATCGGAAGAAGTATTAATATTTATGAGCTTGAAAATATTTTT